AGATATGCCACAGCATATCAACATCACTCTCTGTCAGCTCTCCAACAGGGCGATCATCATCAGAATCAAGAGCCCTTGCCATCTCATATGGCTCCGAATCATTCATAATTTCAACACTATTAGAGCCACGTAATCTATCTCCATAGTGCACTTGCACAGCAACAGGGGGCACATCCATATTGTCAGGAATGTCTCCTGCAATATAAGTAGATAAATGAGGAAATAATGAAATAAATAGATGTAAGGAAGGGAGTAAGCTCCCAATAACCATGTGGATAAGACACTTATTCAGATGATTCTGTGTCAAAGGGATCTCATTAGGAGGATCTGCCACAACAACTTGAGTCTGACAAGCATCTCTAATAACCTCATTGGGGGCAGATTGAGCATCGGTAACCATATGTGCAACCTCCACATCTATATTAGGTTCTGGGACGGGAGGGTCGAAATGTGCCTGCTGACCCATTGGTGGGGAAAACCCATGAGAGATGGGATCAACTAACACCCGACGCACAACCATGTCCAAACATTGCAGCTGGCTCTTCATAGCCGATCTCATATAGTTCTCCCACTGATCCGCACACCCAGTTGAGATCATTCACCTGAGGATGTTGGGAGGAGAATCTAGGTGCAATACACCCTCAATTGCAATGCCATCATCATCATCATCTCCAAGGCAATGCAGCTCCTCCCGAGCCCTTGCAACCATCTCACTAAATGAAGGCCTATCATTTAATAGCACAGGCACGCTTTGCATGTCAACAAACTCAACATATCCATAGCGATCGCATTCAACGGTGCCTCCATGATATATGGTCACTAGGTTGTCCATCTAGTTCAAACATATAACGAAACACAAGTCCTTTAGTCCAAATTAGACGATAGATAGTACATAACAAGTACTTTTTAACTACAAACTAAGTAAATAAGATAATAACTACGTGTATATATATATATACAGTGTACTCATAAAATAGCTATATCTATATACCTATGTATCTATGTTTCTATCTATCTACGTATCTAACTATATCTATGTACCTATGTATCTATATTTCTATCTATTTATATATCTATCTCACTAGATCACTAACTAAATCAACTACATGAGTCATCACATTAACTAGTAAATAACAAATAATCGAACTACTATATTACAATCAAAGCTAACTAAGCACCTACATTGCATATTCACAATTTTTACCTGGCGCGGCCGGGCGCTGCAGGGCCTGGGGACGCCGCGGCCGCGGTCGCGGGCGCGGCCGGGGACGGCTGGCGTGGGCACGGGGCTGCTGAGGGTGAGGGCGCGGCCGGGGACGGCCGGCGTGGGCATGGGGCCGGTGCGGCCGCGAGCGTGAACGGGGACGGTCGCCGAGGGCGAGGGCGGGGCCGGCCGGCGCGGGCACGGGGCCGGCGCGGGCGTGGGCGGGGCGGCACGGGCGCGCGGGCGGAGATTGTGCGGCGGCGGTGAGAGAGGACGGCGGTGAGAGAAAGAGAAAGAGAGAAAGGAACCTCGGACCCATACGTAAGAGAAGGGTTGGCGCTAGGATTGTTATCGTCGAGCTCGGCGTCAAGATCCACGGCGTCGAGCTGGCTGCCATGTCAGCGTCCATGGCGCCAACGTAGCCCTAACCTCGGCGCCAGCAACGATGGCGCTGAGAAGTGTAAGTTTGGCTTCAACGACGATGACGCCGAAGTAAGGGACCAGATTTTAAAATAATACCTTCAGAGACATATTTATAAAAAAAATTCAAAAAAAAAGCTTAAAAAAAATTCGGTGGCGTGGGCGGGGAGCGCCGGAACGGGACAAACGGTGTCGCCGACGCCGGCGACGCGGGAAAACGTTGCCTGCAGCAATGCCTTTTGCGGAAGGAAATTCTAGAAGATGTACGCTGTCGTTGCAGGGTATGCCTCAGGAAAATCAGCGGCCGGTCACACAAGCACGGACTGCACATGCACACCAGCACACGATATTTCTCGCGTCTAGTGGTCGCTTTGGTTGGTCACTGGTAATAAAATGCTATCTGAAGACGAGTACCACATTCAGCCAATTTATAAGGGTCGCCCAGCTGCCCCGCCTCTCTGTCGCACGGCAGTCAGCAGTTCCATCTACTGCCGCTAACCGCTTTCCTAATGGCAACCAGGGGATGCAGAGTTTCAAGGCATATGTTCGTCTCTCTTATAATCCGTCTTTTTCAGCTTGTTTTTTTATTCAAAACAATATTTTTCTCTCAGAACAAATCAGTCGGAACAGTATTTCGGCTTGTTTTTTCAGCAAAGCGAACGGGACCTTAGGATGCTCATTTCCTTTCTCTTTAATCTCCGTTAAGAATAGCTAAGGAAAAACTCTCTATTTTCATCCATTTAAAAAACCTAAAGCCAAAAGCCGTAACCATAGTTTAAACGTCCTACGAAAACTGTACTACATGACACGCTCGCCTTTTGAAAGAGCAGGTTCAATTTTTTTTTTATCATTCCACTTTTGCAACTACACTTTTCAGAAGCTCAACCAACACAACCTTATTTTAAAATAAAATTGATATAGGCGTAACAATTTTTCTAAAAACGAGAAGGAGTAAGAAAAATGAAAATAGATCTCTTCCTTCGTGACAATTATATTTGTTAATTTGGACTACGTTAAAGGTGTGTTTGAAGGATTCCAGATTTTCGCAAGAATGCTTCGAATTCAAATTCTCTTCAAATATGTTTCTCATAAATTAGAATTATTTTGTGGAACTGTTTACCAAGCTTGCTGGATTAACTATAACCAGGAGAATCTAGGTTTTGTGTGTTTCTCTGAACTAGTAAAAAACGAATATCGGTTCCAAGTAATTCTCCCTAAAATGTTCGATCTTTATAGTAGTTGGCAATAATGATTTTAATATAATGATTCTAGTGACGATTTGAAACATTTCTTGCTGCCAAATGCGCCATACGGCGTGATGGGTCGTGCGACCTCGCCCACCCGTCTTTGATCATCGTATGTGGTCAGCGACGGAGGCAGCGGTGGGGCTGGGGGGGGGGGCTCTAGCCCCCCTACCGATCCTGGGCACGTGGAACCCCCCTAAGCGCCCCCCTTGATTTTTTATGCATATATGTATTAGGTAGGAGGGACTAAGGTTAAGAGAAAATAAAAAAGCCTATATTCTTTTGTTCAGCCCCTTCTATTTTTTCTGGCTTTGTCCCTGTATGTGGTCACCCGCGACACGCCACCTTACCACATTTCCTGTTGTCTAGCCTCACCCGCCAACCCCATCATCCACTAATCCGTTGTCGATGAGCCTCTCTCATTCATGCTCAGTCCAACCGGCGCCTTCCACTTCTCGTGGCCACCGATGCTCCACCACCTTGCTGCCTCGCTCCACCGCTAGACTACCGCCGGAGATCCAGGGTTGAAAGGAAAACATGTTTCCTAACCCTCCGGCAAAGGGCGGCACACAACACCAGCGCAGTCGTGGATTTGATTGTAATTTATCTTGCATCTTACTCGATTCCCTAAGATATGAACAATATAATGTACTCCCTCCGTCTAAAAAAATATCATTCTAAATTTATGAGAAGTCAAATATTTATAATTTTGACAAAATATATATATATATAAAATATTAATATTTATAGTGCATAATTTTATCATTAGATGGCTGAATATATTTTTATAGTAAATTTATTTAAATATATAAATGTTGCTAATATTTGTTATAAATTTAGTTAAACTTTAAAAAACTTGATCAGTTCGAACTGGATAGCGACACTTTCTCTCGGAGGGAGTAACTGCGAACGATACTGAGTACTGGCAGAAACTTTACACCTTACGCCCTATTTAGTTGGCTTATAAGTCGTATTTTTTCAGCCAATAAATAGTATTTTTCTCTCACAATAAATCAGATAACGATACTTTCAGCTATGGCTTATCAGCCAGATGAATAGGACATTAATATAAATACGGAAAACCAGTGAATGGAACAAACAACACGTGATTCGTTCCGTGCCTGTCTACTGGGCGCACGTAAGCACTGAACCCGGAGTCAAGCCCATGCAGCCATGCCACTCCGTGGGGACAGCCGGACATGTCCCATGCAGGCTCGCTCGATGACTTGTGTGGCACTGTCTGATCGCCGGTTGCCACCTCGGTGCATAATGGCGGACGCGTGTGAGACGCAGGCGGATCGGAGGGAACTTCAGCGAAGGGAAGCCTGGAGGCTTCGCATTTGCAGGCTTGCAGCACCATTGCCGCTGGTGATGGCACGTTGAACAGAGAGGTGACACGTCGAGACTACCATCTCGTCTCGTCCTTGTTGCCTCTTGTCCCTCGTTGAAACACAAGAATTTTCTTATTTTATGTGTTTTTCCAAACAATTAGACTTATATTCCTGTCAAATCACATTACAGTTTTTATAAAATTCCTGCATTTTTATTAGAACTCCTAAAGCTTAATCCATGCAATAAAAAAATATAGTTACTCAATCTGTCTTAAATTTCTATTCATTTTAACTTTATTCTAAAAATGGGAGTTCTCTAATTTAACCAGGTTTACATATATCTTACACTTACAATGTCTCAGTTTCAAACATCCTACAATGCCGAGTTAATTTTATTAATTAATTTCTCCATTAAAATGTACTCCATTTATTTAAAACTATGACATTTTGACCTTTCTAGATACATTATTTTTAGGCAATTTTTGCTGTAGGACATCGCGAAAACAATAAATTGGCTGCAACACACCGCCAACACTTGTTTTTGCTGAGTACCATTATGAAATCGCGAATGTTTACCGGTGGACACCGCCTCCATTAAAATAAAGAAAAACAGCAATCAGGAGAGAGAAAGCACAGTAAAGAGAAGTTTTTACCCCTGCCGGCCTGAGCCCTATCATTTAGGTGGTCCGGTTGGACCAGCTCGGCTCGGCCCCGATCGTCTTCTTCCTTCCCCCGTTCTCGTTCTCGTCAGTCTCTCTCCCCATCCTCATTCCCCATCTCGACGAACCCTAGCTTCGAGCCATGGCATCGAGCTCGCATTCCACACCGTGCGGCGCGCCGCACCCAGCTTCGCCGTCGCTCGACCCCTATAGAGACCAAGCTGGATTCTTGCCCTTGGTTCCTTGCCACAAGTGCGGAACCGTTTTCATCGGGCGCGTGTCGCAGAAGCCTGGCAGCAAGGGGAAGAGGTTTTACAAGTGTCCACTGCTTGAGCATGTAAGTGGTCGTTGACTTCTGATCTGGTTTTGAGGAGATGCGCATTTTTTTTATTTTTCATCTCTTGTTTGCCAGACCGACTTTGCGTGTGGAGTGTACTACTTTAAGGAACAGTATATCAATTACTTGGTCGCCAAAGGCGTTCTTCCTCGCGCTTGTAGTCAGGTTCGAGTTCAGGGTGCCATGGCGCTCGAGGTGATGAGGGAAGGCAATGACAAGGAGAAGGCCTGCCAAGGATTTGATGGCTGCCAAGATCTGTTGGAGACTGCAGTGATTCATCTCCAAGGTTCAGAGGCACTACTGAAGTCAGTACTTGAGAGCAACAAGAAATTGTTGACCAACATGAATAAAATTGGAGAGCGGCTGCTTGTAGTTGGTGATGTAATGGTTTTCATTTTGGTGTTAGTTCTGTTAGTGTTGTTGGTCAAGTGAAGCAGAACAGTAAGTTGTCATGTATCCTGGTTATCATGTATCTAGTTAGTGTTGTTGGTCATGGTCATGAACATGTATTCAGTTAGTGTTGTTGGTCATGAACATGTATCCAGCTTATCTGTACCTTGATTGAAATCAATGATGCATCTTAACTATGTTGCAAGAAAATGGTCTGCCAAATTGTATCTGAGTTCATGAATGATGGGGCAAGAAAATGGTGTGCCAAATTGTTGCAAAAACATACATCCAGGTTTAATTTGATCACTTCACACAACAAAGTCTACCAACTGAGTTCATGATCGAGATTGCATAACTGAGTTCACATGTTCATCACACTACATAACAGGTTCACCACAAAATAGATCCATTACATAAGACATGCATCACAGGTCCAGGATGAGCTTCTTCTTGCTGATCCTCTTGCCGGCCTTGCTTGCCTCCTTTTCCCCAGCCGGCATTTCTTCTCCAGTAGCCTTGGTGGTCACCACCTTTTTCTTCTTCTTCTTTTGATGCTGCACTTCTACTATTGGGGAGGAAGTTTCACCACCTAGCTCCAATGCCCTCTTGCGGCTGTAGTCATACCCAACATTAGAAAGATAAATAATAGTATGTTGTCATAGATAACAGGCATCAAGTCTTTACACTTACCTCCTAGTGTTTGCTGCGGGGCTGTTTGTTAGAGCTGGTGGTGCAATGTTTGGTGGGCTATTTGTCAGAGCAGGATAGACAGTTGTTTCTTGAGCACCTTCAATCTGTGATTGTTGGGTAGAGACAGTTGTTGTGGCAGTGCTTTTCTTTTTCTTTGCTCTCTTGGGCTTTGGTGGTGCATCAGAGTCATAAACAGTTTCATTACAGGTCTTCATCATGTGACCAAACCCTCCACACCTCTTGCACTGGCGCTGGCTTTTTTTGCTTGCCACCTTCTTCAGAACCTTTTATCCTTCTTGATCTGGGCCGACCTAAAGCTCTCTTGAACCTTGGAGGCCAAAGTTTGAAACCCAAGTCCACATCAGGCCACTGGTTCCTATCTGTCATGGGACTTATCACATGTTCATATGCTTTCTTGAACTTATCAACCAAATAATAGTCATCTATGTAGTCTTCCACACTTCTGTTGCGCATGGAATGGATGAAGCAGAGAGCATGAGTACATGGCAATCCAGTAATCTGCCACCTTTGACAGCCGCATGATCTATTATCAAGGTCGACAGTATGCCTCTAGGTTTTCAGTTCCTTTGTAGTGCCTTGAATCTCAGCATCGTTGTTGGACCCCCTATGTATGACATACTATAAATTCCTACTCATGGCATGCAGCTCTTTGGTGACATGAGGCAAGATCTTGTCTCTCAGCTTAAGTGACAGTGACCTCCTAAGGTCTTGTTTCTCCATGATCATTTGCCTGATCCTATCCAACAGAGGAATTAAAGCCAAGGACTTCTCATTCCTAATCCAACTGTTGAAGGTCTCTGCTATGTTGTTAGTAACATAGTCACATTTGCTTGCATGAGAGAACTTCCATCTACTCCATATGTGCTTGTGGTTGTCCTCTATCCAGTTCATTGCCCTTGGTGAAGCTTGCTTCATGATGTTGTAATGGTGATCAAAGTGCCTCTGGTTGTAAGCTCTGCTTGCTGGCCATAAATGTTTCTTGAACACTACTCCTCTATACCTCTTGTTAAAATTCTTCACTAGATGCCTCATGCACTCTCTATGCTCTACTCCATTTGGGAAAACATATGTTACTCCCTTATCTATTCCTTTGCCTGCATCTGTTCATATGACCAGGCCTGGAGGAGTCCCAATTGTCACTTTAAGTTTCTCAAAAAACCATATCCAATTTTTAGCAGTTTCAGACTCAAAGACACCATATGCCACTGGAAAAAGCCAGTTGTGTCCATCCATAGCTGAAGCAGAAGCTAACTGTCCTCTCCACCTCCCAGTCAAAACTGTTGAGTCAACACCTAAGAAGGGTCTGCATCCATTCAAAAAACCTTGAACACAGCTCTTAAATGCAACAAACATCCTTGTGAACCTCCTCTTATTACCAGCCAGTATCCACTCAATGTCCACAATGCTACCAGGATTTGTCCTGTCCACCTCAGCCTTGAATCTAAAAACATCTTCAAAGCTGTCATCCCATTTTCCTTGAATTTTCTCTAGAGCCATTTGCAGTCCATCCCAGACAACATAGTATGAAAGTTGGATGTTGTACTTGTTCTACAAATCCTTCCTCAGTTTACCAGCTTGAATTGTTGGTTCATCCTTCAGGATGGTAATGGCCCTGTCCCTCACCCAGGCATTGGTAGCCATGCAGTTCTTCTCCAGTTGGGATGTGCTGGCACAAGTATGTTTTCCCAACTTCTTTATCTGACAAATAAAAGAAAGGCAAAGCATCAAACACATGTTGGGAAAAATAAGAACCAAAATGTAAGGAAATTTGAAAAAGAAATAAACTAACCTGCCAAGTCTTGCCATCTTGCAATTGAGAAGCATGTATCCTCCACTTGCACCTCTTCTTCTTGCTCTTGAATCCTTTGTAGTGCCCTCTATACCTTTTGGATTCACTGTAAGGAGCTACAATTTCAAACTCTTTTAGCACAGCATATTGTCTAATAGCCCTCTTAAAGGTGTCCCCATCCTCAAATGTGACACCACATTCTATAGTTGGGTTTTCTAAGTTAGTAACATGCTCATTGATCTCACAACCAGCATCATCATCAACATACAAATCATCATGAACAAGAGAGTCAGAGTCAGTATCCCCCTCTGATGCATCTTGTTGATCTTGTTGTTTTGGCATATAATGGCCCTCATCATTGACCCCAACATACTCCTCAACATCTTCTTCCCATGAAAAATCATCATCAGCATGCTTCTTCTTGCTTCTTCCTTGAGTAGGTGTGGATTTCTCAGCTGAGTCATCAGAGTTAGAAGAGTGAACACTGTCATCATCACTTTCTCCCCCACTAAGTGACTCCACATCGGCCTCACCTCCACCAGGCCCAACAGTTTCAACAATCTGATTGTTCTGCCCATCATCATGACCAAGCAGAGGGGGCAGCAATGGGAGAGCAACAGATGCACTGGCCTCATTATCCAAAGACACACTCTAACTATATGCAATAGGAATCATGTCATAAAAATTCACAAACAAAGGTAGCCACCTTAGGTGCCAATAATTGTTAGTAGCATCCACCAAAGCTGCATCTGAGGTCAGATTGGTATAGCATTGGGTGTTCTTGTCGAAATATGTCAAATTGAAGCCCTGATTCTTCCCAATAGACACTTTGGCAGCTACATCCTTACTTAAATCAATCAGATTCAGAGTGTCCCTATCAACAATGAGCTGAAAATCTGCTGCATTGTGAGCCACATTTCTACCGTCATCGCAAGCCTCATAGTAACATGGGACACGCACTGCTATGCGTAATGAGAACCACTCGTCCATCCTAAAACATGGACAAGAACAAGAAATCATGAAAACCCTAGCCCGGATGCATAAATCGACCCCCAAGTTCATCGCAACCACGTTAACCAACCCCGGATCGAAAAGTGGAAGAGGATAAGAGTGCATACCCTCAGAACCCATGATGATTCACTCCCTTGGACGGTGAATCTATGCTCGGGCGGAGCCGCTTCGATTTCGCCGACGAAGCCATCTTCATGCATCCATGGCACGCCGACTGTGGGGAAGAGACGGCGGTGTGGGCGGCAGGAGACGGCGGCGTGGTTGTCTGGAGATGGCGGCGTGGGTGGCTGGAGACGGCGGCGCTGCGGGAGACTGGAGACGCCGTCGGCTAGGGTTGGATAGAGCACAGGGTCTGGTTCGACCAAGTAGTGGTCCGGCTCGACCAACAGGGTCTGGTTCGACCAAAGGGCAACGCTGGTCATTTTGGAATGTTTCTCTCTCCCGATTGCTGTTTTTCTTATTTTAATGGAGGCGGTGTCCACTGGCAAACATTCGCGATTTCATAATGGTACTCAGCAAAAGCTAGTGTTGGAGGTGTGTTGCAGCCAATTTGTTGTTTTCGCGATGTCCCACAGCAAAAATTGCCTTATTTTTACTTTGAATTTACACACAATGTATATCTATATACATAATACAAAACTATGTATCTATAAAAGAGCTAAAATGTCTTATAGCTTATAATGGAGGGAGTATTACTTATGCATTTATAATTTGAAATGGAGGGAGTATTACTCATATATTTATTTTAAGTTGTGTGTGTATTACAAAAACCATGACATGCTACATAATTTTGCCTTATGCATGATAAACTAAACTGAACTATAAATGGGAAAGCGGTACAAATAGCACCAACCATGTAGAGCACTTTTATCAGGTGTAAACATATTCAAAGATGCACTTTTATGTTTTCAAAAAAAAGATGCACTTTTATCTATCCTTGGAATCAAATTGGGTGTAAGAAGTAAGATTTTTTGACTAATTTGTGAAATTTATAGCTCTGGTGCTTCTTTCTCTAATAACTACTCCTTCTGTTTCAAATTATAAGCTGCTTTGACTTTTTTGCTATATAGATTTTGCTATGTTTGTAAAAAAACATATGTTATATCTAGATATATAGAAAAATCGTTGTACTAGAAAAGTCAAAACGACTTATAATTTGGAACGGAGGGAGTACCTAATTAAAGTCATGGTCTCTCGTAACATGTTGCATGTGTTGTAAACATGGAATCCGCTTCATTTTGACAAACTATACATGATCATGTTTTCTCGAAAATGTCAAATCTGAAAATAGATTTTGACAAACCATACACAATTATGTTTTCACGATAATTAGTTCTAGCCACGGCTAGATTTTGACAAACCATACACAATTATGTGTTACACAATTATGTTGTCCAACGCTATAGATTGGTTGGGGTATAGTGAAGATTTGTCGGCTTCCTAGCTTTTTCTTGTGCACTATGTTTCGGGGAAAAAATAGTATTGTGTTTGCTTGAGCTATATTTAAGCCACAACGGCTGTTTTCATAATG